GACAACCATCACTATGAGCCTAAGTGATGATACAAAGTCTTGCCCACGCTGCCAGAACTATCTTATAATTTGTCTTCATATTGAACGCCTTAACTAAGTGGATCCACTACTCTATGCTAATATGCAATAACAACTCTTTTTACATGTAAAGTAATATATTACTGTGGGAATTTCTCTAACCAACAACCACCACTATGAGCCTAAGTGATGATACAAAGTCTTGCCCACGCTGCCAGAACTATCTTATAATTTGTCTTCATATTGAACGCCTTAACTAAGTGGATCCACTACTCTATGCTAAAAAAGTACTTAAGGAATCATCTAAAAAGTATGATCCTTTTCTACCCATGATGGCTACATGGTTTATAGAGACTTGAGTTATTATGAACTCGTGTCCCATATAGGTGCTCAATACTACTCCCAAAATATACTCAGCTCATATGTTTTTAAAACAAAACGCTTTCTTTGGTTTGAGATCATTACTTAAAAACTTAGCTTAAAAGCTCTTTTTGAAATCGGTGTTTCATTTCTTGCTCAAATGTGAAAACATTTTAACTCTTGGAAATACTTAGTTCCCGAATAATCTTTGAAGAAATGAACTTTACTCTTACTATTTACTCAACTCAAAGCTTAAGTCTTAAAACAAAGTTAAAACTTTTGTGAAAGACTTTTGGAGAACTTTATGAACTTCTCTTGACTTAACTTTTAACCTTTTGACTTGAGTCATAACTTTCCTTGAATTGAAGTATGGATTCAAGGCTCATGAACTCATGTTAATGATGATTTCATGATGCTTATGCATGCCTTAGAGTATAGGAATCGACTAGGAAACATAGGTACGATGCTAAGGAACTAGTACGAAAAGAAGGGGGAAATTAGGAGAACTGGCGTCCCTGGCGCTCTATGTGGTGCGGGGCGCCAGCCCTGAAATTTCAGAGAATGAGTTAGGGCTCTCTAGCTGGCCCGGCTCCCCAGAGGTCATATTTCAGGGGATGCTTTGGGGGGCGCTGAGAGGCGCAGCGCCCTAGCCCCTTCCCTAGATTTTCGATGAAATTCCTCCTTCGTTTTTCAACTCTAAACCCTCTAATTTCACTTGGTTCTTTTTCCAAGCACTTAGAATCGACTATATGTTCAAAATACACAAGATTAT